CGCTGTGGGATCTATGCGACGGTCCGGGCGATATCATCACGTGGCATCTGACCCTGTTCTGCATCCTGCTGGTCACTGGTCTGGTTCAGATCGGTCTGTGTGCTTTCCAGGTCATCAACGGGCTCATCGGCACCATCTGTGGAGACTGCTGCGGCTGCTGCGGGGTACGCACAAACTCTGATAATAACAATAACAATAAAGCACCCACAGGCCTTATATTGTTCATCATTAGTTTGTAGCACTGAAATAACTTGACCTTGTGTTCATCCGCAGGACTCCTAAACCACTCAGAATGGACTTGGCTCAATGAATCTTCAGGACTAATCATACATCCATATCTGTAATTGTCAACAGTTTTTCACCTCATAATTTGTATTTATACTGTTTAGATGGATGTTGTTTTCTTCCGTGTTTGCTGTATACCACATCTGCCTGATGGCTGAGGAAGGCAACAGATATTTGTATAAAATAAATAAAAATAAAAATATTATTTTATTTATTATATTATATTGTTATATATATAGCCTATATATGATGTTTCATATAGATTTATATGATATAGGATATTGATATATAGTTTATTGATACGTATTGTAAAGAATATTGAATATTTATTCAAACTGTAGGAGAATGTTATTTTCGTACAAGTATTTAGTCTTTTTTATTGATGGATTAAGGGAACGTGCAAATATATGGAATATTTGATAAAAGATAGGTTTTATCTCAGGAAATTGGTTGAAATGTAGTAAAAGAATATTTGACACTTAATAAACTCTTGATTTAAAAAGCTGTCCGTGTTGCAACTTGTGCTTTTCCGTCTCACTCAGCAAGATTTGAGGGCTTTTGACTCCGAGAAAACAAGAAGCAGCAGGAGGGACAGTGAGAGGATCTGGGAAGCGCCCTGACAGACTCTGGAGAGTTCAGGGTTACTTCATAAACAACAGCTGGCCTGCTGTAGATGATCTGCCTTCTTTTTTATAACTAAATATGCAAAGAGCGTGCAATAACATGATGCGCAAGCTGAAACTGCACTCGCACGTTCTTGATAAGAGTTCTTAAGCAATGCTATAACTTATTTGCGAGTTATTGCTTTCTGGGCAAAGTAAATGTTTGTTGTTCCGCTGGTGTCATGTTGATATGTTATCAGGGGTTTTATGAGGGGAATGTTATTTTATGATGGCTTTATAGGTAACAACTCTCATCTTCACACAAGAATGATTAACTTCATGCTCTATGATGCATGTGACTGATGCTTTATTACTGATAAGCTTTCCCCCGATACTTTTTGTTGCAAACTAAAAATATTACAGCTGCATGATAAATGATTTGTTTCTCAGTGGAACGGAAACATTTCACAGCAAATAGTCAGACCTGCAAATATCACTTTAGTAGTAACAACAACATTGCAGAATATTCACAAAATAATTTCCCATTAGAGGCATGTAGTACATATGCAATTATACAGTAACAAACACAAACGTAACATGTGATTAACTTTAATTGTGTACACAAACTTCTGACTTAAGCAGTAATAGGGAATAACTCTAGAGACCCCTGGTGGACACCTGAAGAATTTGGCTGGACAGTATTTTTTTGTCTTTATGAGTAATTTAGAAAACAGTTTGTTTGATGACGTTTTCTCACTTTCAGAAACACATTAAATAATTGTATTTTTAAATATTTGTTTTTCTTATTGGACAATCGGCCACATTGCATATACCCATTCATAATCTACCCATTATATTTTACATTGTCCACATGCACTTTTTATTCAGCGTTAGAATTGCTTGGCCTTGAGGTTCAGTCAGAGAAGAAGACAACTTTTCTCACAGTCTTTATTTGCATTATACACCTGTTTAATATTCAATAAAAACCGATCCTACACTGTAAAAAAAAAATACTGTAAATTTACAGTAACTTACTGGCAATTTTTGGTTGCCAGTATAAATTTACAAAAGTACTGTAAATCAATAATTACAACTGTACTGTAAAAATACAGCAAACTGTTTACAGCTATCACTGTAAAATCACAGTAGAAATGTTTATAAATGAGTGGAATTACAAGAGCAACTGTGAACTTGTAATGCTATACATACATTTTACAGTAAATTAGAACATTTGCTGTGAAATTCAATTCACTAAATTAACTACAATTGAGATGTTTCACTGCTGTGATAGTGTGTAAACATTTGGTTAACTTAGTTCATTTGAGTCCACTGAGAAGGAATATTTCTTAGTATAAAACTGCAAACACTTAATGTGTAATAGCAAAGTAACTAAAAACATGACTTTAACTCAAATCGTTGCAGTTTATCGTCAGCTATAGCACACATGTATGAGCTGAAGCACTTAACAAAGAGATCATCACTGCATCAACTCCTCAGTTACTGTCTTTAAATAAAGCAGCAGAACATCGGTGCTTGTGGCTCATCATTGACTGAAGCACAGGCTCTACTCTCCAGCACAATGGTGAGCCACAAAACTACATTAACAGATCTCTCTTGTGCAAAAACACACTAATACACTTCAGCTAAATATTTACTCTCCTTATAGATAATCATGTGAATTATTAAGTGATGATTGCGCTTTAGAGATGAACAGCTGCTGTTAACAAGCAGAATCACTGAATGAAAGAGAAACACAAGAACTACAACTGACTTCAGCCACAGACTTAGATGAAATCAACTGAAATACAAGAGATCATTAAATCTCTCAAGATATGATTTAACAACTCCTAAAAAAGCATTACCAGCTTAACTCTAATTATGAATTATTGATTTACAGTATTTTGTAAATTTGCAGTCTTACTGGCAACCAAAATTGCCAGTGTTACTGTAAATTTACAGTATTTTTTTTTTACAGTGTATACTTATGTGTACTTAATTTACAGTACATTGTGATAATTTACTGTCATTTACAGTACATTGATTATTTATCATTGCATAAAAGAGATTGTGAAATTGAAATCACCTTCCTCATATGCTGACCAGCTATTTGATATTTCTCCGATTGTAATTTTAGGCTTATTTGAACTCTAATACGGTCTCTTGTATGCAATGGCCATCACAATCCAATAAATTCCAGGGTACTTTTACTTTTACAATACAATTAAGCCCTTATCTTTCCTCAAAAGGGACCAATAGAAATGAGAATGGGTAGTAAATTGTATTTTTAGCACACCAGCTGGTGAAGACAAAGTCAATGAAACACATCCATGCTAATAAAACCATTTTATTCTTTTCCTTTTTGATTTCACTGACAATTTTAGAGATTTCTTAGATGTTACCACATTTCTCACGTACAGTACACCGCCATCATATTTCTGTGGTACACAGTTTGTTTTCGGAGCTTTCCAGCATGTGGCCAACATTCACATCAGTAATCGAACAAAACCTAAAGCATGCTGAAGTGTGGAGCGCTACATAAGTCTGGCATCAACCGGCACAAATTACACTCACCAGATTTCATCTCACCCCATAACACAACAAACAAATCTGCATTTTATGAAACTGAAGCCATATTCAACTCTGTGAGAAATTGCATGATTTAGGTTCTGGAAAAGCAGTTTATATCATAGAAAGTCATTAAATCATTAAAGGTCCCTCTTGCTGAGTGTCTGGAGCAGAACGGGCCGCTCGAGACCACCGGATCTCGTCCTTAGTTGTCCAAAACTGAAGAAGCCGACGGCTCCACTGAGTGGACGTCTCTGAGGTCACTCGGATTCGAGAACAGCTCGTATCGGCTCTTTCTGACCCGCTCGGTCCTTATGAAGGACGTCATGAGCTCAGTTTGACCTACAGTTAGTAAAAATCACCCCGTCTGCACAATCCACAAATCCAACACACTTCAATTCATAACCCATCTATAAAGTAACCATAAACAATAAAGATGTCATGGTGAGGTGGGTCTATACACCCCCGATGCTATGAATATCAAACAGATCAAACATGCAATACAAAAATTTGACCCGTGTAGAAAAAAAAACATATATATGTTTATATATTGAACTGGATTTCAGCCGGGGTGCTAAAATCAAGAAAAAAAAAACAAGTGTCGGCCCCAATAATCATCCAAATAAAGGCAAAATTATCTCTGGTAAGAGAAAATACTTAATGCAGATATTCCCTGAAGATATCGAGGGACTAGAGCAGTATTGCTGAATCCTTGGCATATTTGTAGTGCTTTGAAAACATTTAAAATTCCTGAAAAAAAAAAAAAAAAGAAATCTAAAAACTATTTAAAAAGAAGTTCATAGCTCTTGATAAATACTAACCTGCAAACTAATTAAATGCACCAGATGTCAAGAGCACAGAATAGAAAATAGGAATACTGTAGCAGTACATAAAAACATATATGATATTTAACGCTTGTCTACAAATGCCATCATGAGCTTCACACAATAGCTAAACTGGAATAAAAGTAAAACACATCTGAAATAGTTATTCGTTGGATATAAAGTCACAATGTAAAGCTTTGACAGGCACACTTCTGCTACTGATTTGGCAAAATGTGAAAAAGCAGGGTGAATCTCATGAAAACGTAAGGACCATTACGATTTTCTGACAATTAAACACCTTGAAAACTGATAACATCTGAATCAAAAATATTACTGATCACTGAATCAACCAAAATACAGTCATTTATACCAACAAAACTAGTTTTACATTACTGTAACAAAAAAAGTTTGATTCTCATTCTCAGTGGTGATTCTCATTAGTGTTTTTAGGGCAAACATGCTTAATTATTATTCAAAAAATCCTAATGGTCCTAAAAAGTGGCTTTATTTTCTAGAAGCATTTACTTATTATTTCTTATTCTTGATCCAAATACATTTTTATGATAGCTTATTTCTGCCAAGAAATATTTTATTTCAAAATAAAAAAATAAAATAAAAAAGGCAATTGCGATTTTGATCTAATTTTTGACTTTTTTTCCCGCAACTGCAAGTTTATATCCTGAAATTGCAAGTTATAAACCCACAATTCTGAGAAAAAATGACTAGAACTAAACTCGCAATTCTAAGAAAAAAGTCAGTATTGTGAGTTCACATCGCATAATTCTATCTTTATTATTAGATTTGTTTAAATCTCGTAATTCTGACTTTTTTCAGTTACATCTCACAATTACGTGTTTCCAAATTTTTAGACACCTGACCACATGCAGAATTGTGAGATTTGAAGAAAAAAAAAGAATTGTGAATAAAATCGCAATGACCTTATATTTATTTTTCCATGGCGGAAATCAGCTTCCATGCGTTGTTGACAGGTTTGGTGAGATTCAGCCGGTAAAGCTTGACTAACCCGAACTCGGGGTTAAATGTACTAACACACAGGCGCGCCTGTTAAACATGATCAGACACTATTCAGGAGTTTCTGCGATCATTCTGAACACAAACACAGACAGAATCAAATCCACCCAACATCAGTTACTCAACAAACACGCTTGTCTTTGATTGACGCGTGCTCGCTTATTTGTTCGCAGGCTAAACACTTTGGTATTGTTCTTCGACTCATTGTGATGTGAGGGAACGAATCTGACTCCTAAAAAAACGTGAAACTAGAGGAAGAGGCTCATTGAATATATAATATAATATATATATTTATATAAAAGAGTCTTTAGTGTCGTGTGAGTGAGTCTAGAGCCAGGTCAGGAAGGGCTCGCTCTTGTTCAGGACCGACTCCACGTCGTTGAGGATGGGCATGAGGTCGGCTCCCTCCAGGGTGCCCAGGTCCACGTTTGTGCCAGGCATGGAGTCCAGGAAGTCTGGGAAACGGCTCTGCGGCGGGACGCTCATACTGACCGCCACCATGCTCTCACCTGCAGACGAGACGACGGGAGGACAAATCATTTCCCTGGCAGTCATAAAGCATTATAGCAATCCTTCACGGCCTCTAAACATCTATAAACCTACCTAACAATCATACTCATCCATCGAATATTGCAGGAGTCTGCAAACTTAGGCATGGGGAAAGTTAAACATGTTATACTTTATATGAAGAGTTTATTTGCAAAAACCGATAAACGCCAATAAAAAAAAATGTAGTTGATTGCCGTTCATTATTCTCTACACATAGCGCGATCTGAACCCTAAACACGTTTTGTCAAAAAAGCCAGTTTTGTCATCTTTCAAGGCATCACGAGTTTACGTTTTACTGCAGAAGCCGACAAGCGGCCTTGTTGTTTTTGAACAGAAGCCGATAAGTCAATTTCAGCGAATCAGCGCGCTGTATTCAGGTCAGGTGGCAAGGCTACTTTGAAAAGACACGCTAGCTGAGAGGAGTTTCGTCAAAGCTGGCTAAAAGTGATCGAGGATCATTTTGACGAACTTGAACCTGTGATATCTTCTTCAGGCGAAAAAGGAAAATAAAAGCTGAAAGGTTTTCACGGAAGCTTGCAAAAGCAGCGCGTTACAATGTTGAGGGAAAAGCTCCATGTGTTGCGTGTAATCACATCATACAGTTTATGATCACAACAACGTTTGTCAGGCGTCTACATTATCATCTGAGGAGATTACAATTAAACTCTAAAACATGAAATGTGGAGTTATCTGCTTTTGCTATAAAACAAACTTTTAATATGTAAAAA